AATCCCTTATGTTCCTGACGGGAATGATGACAACCGAATCCCTTATGTTCCTGATGGTGGTGATGGTAATCAGATCCCCCTGGTCCCTTAGAGTAGTAGTATCGCTCCTAACGGCGCTGTTTCGATGTTTCAAGACTTTATGCTCTTACAAATCGGCATACGATATTGCTTGTTTCCTTATATTGAAGCGAGAAGTATTTCCAATTTGTGTGGAGATATTCTGTTGTATCTAGAAGAATTGAAGTACAGTCGGTAGATGTCGTTATGCTTGAGAATATCACACTGTATGCTTGTGTCTATTCAATAAATATGTACCTGTAGCTCAGTGTAACAGTGCATTTATCTGAATTTACAACAGAACTCGACATTGACTTGGAGCTCTTCGATATTTCTCCAACTTGAGGGCAATAACCCCGGATTAATCTCAATCCTTGGAAATTGTCATATTGCAGCACGGTAGTTGATATTGTTTTCTCATAGTAAACATGAAGCCGGGAATCTTTCAACATTCATGTTCAAGAGATCATCTTATGATGATGTTAATGAGATGCTGGTATTCTGGGATGACTGCCGGATGTGCTCAGTTGTAGACCTCGGCACAGCCCTGGGCATGCCCGGCGGGCTACAACGGGCTCTAAGTGCCTGCCCAGTAGGCATTAACGGGCGCCCGGCGGGCTGTCAAACAGTGCAAACATAGGGGAGCCCATGACATGCATTATTTATGCTGTTTTCACCACTCTAGTAAGTAAATGACCACCAACATCATCTACCTTTTGGAGCCAGGAAATATCTAGAATAATGGAGTATGCAGGATCTAGATACAAGCATAGTATATTCAATTTCAATGCGGAGGTACATAAATATCAACACCCAGTATGGGACGAAATCATGAAACTGGAACAAGCGTAAATGGTAGCTGTCTTCAACCATGGTCGGTAACGTGGTTACAGATAATTTATCAACTGAGTCAAGAAGTTATGCTTCCCAATTAGGAGAAATTGTGCACTGAATGGGCCAAAACGGGCGGCCCTGGACAGCCCTATGTGGGCACCCTGGGCGGGCGGTGCCGAGGTCTACTCAGATGGCGATACTTCGAAACGGCCCTTCTAGGTATCAACCTCTCCTTACACGATCACTGAATTCTCAGGTTATATTTTCTGTGATACATCGTAATTCTCTTTTCCCAAAGAGCAAATCTATCAATTCAATTCTCGTTTATTGGGATTGTATCTCTGTAATAAACTTTCTTGAAACGAACTTCTTTTGTTCACAAGTACCAACCTGGCTGTTCTAATGTTGCTGCGTGGAAAGGAGCGGCAATATACCCCTACCATGAAGTAAGAACCTGAAGCCTCCAACCATCCCACTGTATCATACTCGCTACTTATATGGATAAGGAAGGGCAAAAATTGAGGCCCCCGCTTAATGAAGCAGTGGTTCTCTCGGCGATTCCATCATGAGTCTTTCAGAACCGCCGACCACACGTACAAGGTATTTCAATCTTGATCCTACCTCTCACTAGGTCTAAATTCCCACCAGAAAAAGCTTTCCTAATATGGAGCACCCCAATCCCAACACAGTCGCAAAACTTAATAAGTTCAGCGAAGAGGTATCAATGGCCCTCTGGTATAAATAGCTACATGTTAGCACCCTGCAAGGATCGCAAAAATTGATATAATCTGCGTGCAATCCATCCAACACAAGGCCCTTCAACTTCTGGTCGTTGCACTACCAACATCGAATGGGAGCTAAGAGAAGCGCAGCAGGCCAGGTTGGACAACCAGATCCTCATAGGCCGACTTCGAGAGCAAAATGCGCTGCTTAAAGCAGTCTTAGGGTCATAAAGCAACAATATCTAAGGGTATTGTCTTTTTTTTTTTTTTTTTTTTTTTTTTGGGGGGGGGGGGGGGGGAAATCTACCGCATAATAAAAGAGCATAAAGGAATGATCTAGAACTTGAATAGTATCTATCAGATATCAATGAATTTCTTCTTTCCAAGTTCAGCGGCACGTATACTGCAAGCTACAAGACCAGCAAATTAGGTTTTAAAGAAACGGAAGTAGGCGAGGCGACCTGGTTGAATTAAATTTTAAGAACTTCATAGTCCCTGCCGTTCTTCGCTCAGTCGGTTCTATACTTGATGAGAAATAAATGCCTTCCTAAGTATGTAATTATATGACTGCAGCATTCCAAGGAATGCTTTAGTGTTATCCTTCTACCTTGCGAAGCATACGTTGTATCTGATAATCACAAGGTCTAAATTGGGGGCCGTAGAAGAGAACAAAACTCTTTATTTCAACCTCCAGACATATGAGCGCAGTTTGATTACTTTCTCATGGTTCACTGGCTTATTCATGCCGCTCTTGTTACTGTCACAGAGCATGGATGCTAGTGAGCTGCACAGCATGTTTGATTATCTTGGCCTGTTTGGTGTAGAACATTCACTGAGCATCGCTTAAACCCCGAGCGCACACTAGATAGCTCGTCGCCGGCAGGCCTGCCTCTTTCCTTTCTTTCCTCATGTTAGAATTTCGTCAGATAGTCTACCAATATATATTCATATTGCTCGAGACCGTCACGGTTACATGCCTGGACAGTTAGACCACCTCCTTGAACATTCAGGCAAAACCCATGGCGCTCTGTAGCCTATTTTGTAAAATGGGTACTGTATGCTCATTCTTATTGAATGACTTGTCTTGCCTTTGATAAATTCCTAAAGGCGATCTGTGATTGAAACTGTAATCCTCAAGACCTTCCAGCTGGCAAGCTATGTCCTGTACGCATTCGCGAGCGTCCATCCAGATACTGGAGAGGTATACCGGTTTGATCCGAAGTCAGATATACAAAAAGCATTACTCAGTACAAACATTCATGGATGTGTCAAACAGCTCTTCTTACTGGAAAAGAAAAACCGGCAGCTCAAAGTGGTGCTTTCAATCAGAGGATGCACATTCTCGCCTAAGTTTCCAGCTGCAGCTAGTACTGATGTTAGTGCCTTCAAGTGTTCGAACATAAAGGCTGTAGGTTGGAAGCTATCTATAGACTATCCCGTCGGACGCAAGATGTGTGTATCTGTGACGGCCCAATGCTGCACTGACACTGATATAGACAAACAACATCAACACGCCAAACAACGCCAACCATGCAATGAAGGCAAACGGAACATTAGCGATATCACACAAATGCCTATAAGACCCCTTCGTCTTCTAGATAGATTTCCTCTTTCTTCTTCTCCCCAGATTCGATATTCTCGTTGATGGCTACAATAGTCTAGATAGGAATTCAGTTCGTTATTATCTTCTATTCCGAGCCCGTGACAGTATCCCATACATAGCCCTACCACTGTCTCAGATGCAATGCCATTGCTTCTGACGAGTCCTGCGCACCAACCAAATCCATCTTCAATGCAGACCAGGAGGCTAAGCCGTATCATTGTCCTTGCCGACTGTCCTCGATGCTCAGCGAAGACCGGTCAAGGTGAAGTTCGTGATGCATCAGCGTTTTCAACCGGTTCCTCTGTGCCAATCAAATCCCTGTCCGATGCAGGCCAGTAGGCGAAACAGATCAGGAGGTCAAGTTGGTGACTTCAGCCGGTGTATTTGCACCAATCAGTTTCATGCCTGACGCAGCCCAAGGAACGGAGTAGTTGAATTGCCGATTCCATAGACTCCCAATATCTTCGGGGTGCCCGTCAGAAGGTGAACTTGCTGACATTGATGTCTTTTATCAGTCCCTCTGCACCAATCAATTCCCAGTTCCCAGTCCAACACAGACCAGGATGAAAAACTAGATTATTATCCCCATTGACTGTTCTTGATATACAGCAAATGCCAGTTACAAGAGTGACACATAAACAGGAGCATGGCACAGCAATACTCCCACTCTTAGACAGGGTGTCTGCAGCACTAAGGATTTATGTATGGCCCACTCTGAAGATTCATATTGTTCTTTCTCGGAATATGATCTAGTGAAGTTGCGTGAACCCGTCATCAAAGTGAGGCTCCGCCAGCGGGAGATGAAGGGTACAAGGATGGTCGCGATGAGGACAACGGATAACCATCCAATTCACAAGGCATCACGGCATCTCAAACATTACTCATTGTTAGTAGGGTTCTTGAGCATGAGTGAGTGGATCATGGGGAGACTGCACTGGCACCTCAAACAACGAAAAGAGGGTGACGCAATGAGGGGTGGGGCAAGACAGAGGATTAATAGCAAGAATTCCTTATAAGAACCATGTAGGCAGTGCGGGAACAAAGTGAAAGGAAAACAACAGAAATTGGGTCGATGTTGAAGCAGCGATGGAAGGCATCTTTTATAGAGCACGCACGGCGGTGCCAAGCGGCAAGGGGACGCTAAACCCAAATAGGAAAGCTATACCGTTTCTAGTAATTCGCCGTCACCCAAGAGTACGGAGTACTCTGACCGCAAAATAGTTACAGCTGCGGTCGCTACACGCTTGACACGCTTGACACGCTGACTGACCATTGAATAGCTTCAACCAACCCGGAAAAGGCAGGCTAAACGAATGACACCATTGACTGGGTCGATCACGCGGTTTTCCCTAGAGTAGTACTCCGTATATGTATTATATGATGACCGCTTCAGCCCTATCCGAAGCGGGGCGATGATCTATGATTCGGGGGGTATTATTGGCCTAGAACACTCAGGCAGATATATTTTACAAGCTCCATGCAGTCTCTCTCTGCACGGAGGCACTAGTTCAGCCATTGTAGTATACTATGTACTGATAAGGCTGTGGTGGCAGCGGGTCATTTCCGCAAACTCTGCGATCGGCATTCCCGAAATACACCGATGATAAAATCCACCATCCCCTTCTTTTCAGCTCTTCGCCTCTCTCTCTCTCTCTTTCTCTCTCTCTCTCTCTCTCTCCTCTCCTCTCCTCTCCTCTCCTCTCCAGTCAAGTGTACGCACACCACAGTATGAAGTCCGATATCGAGGCTCACCCTGACCCCGAGTCGACGAAACCCTCGTCGTTGGCCCGACTATGGAATCAATCCATCAGTCCGGTTTACGCGGATTGGGTTGGTCTTGTGCTCTGCTTTGTCACTGGTTTATGCGACAGCAGTGCCTATAATGCTTGGACCTGTTTCCTTGCTATGCAAACAGGTACCTCCCCCTTAATACCTACTAACTATATTAACTTCCTGTTAACAAAAGTCAAGGAAACACAATCTTCCTCGGTCTAGGCGCCTCCTCCCAACCCTTCAACAAACCCTGGGGTTGGCTAAAATCCCTCGTCTCCATCGCCGCCTTCTTCCTCGGCGCAACCGCCTTCTCCAACACAACCCGTCTCGCCGGCCCCCGTCGTCGCGGAACCCTCTTCGTCTCCTTTCTCTTTCAGTCCATCCTCATCATCATCGCCGTCGCCCTGATCGAAGCAGACCTTATCCCGCATACGTCGCAAGATGCTAGTCTCACCGGTGGACCGCTGTTCCTCGAACTTATACCGATTGCGCTCCTGGCGTTCCAGAGCGCGGGGAGTATCACGTCTACTCGAGCGCTGGGGTATAATGAGATTCCCTCGGTGGTGTTGACGAGTGTGTACTTTGATCTGGCGAGTGATCCGAAGCTCATCTCTGGGCCGACCGGGAATGTCAAGCGGAATCGTCGTGCCGGTGCTGTGATTATGTTGCTTATCGGGGCGATTGTGGGTGGGTGGTTGAGTCGGAGTGCAGGGGGGATGGAGTCTGCGTTGTGGATTTCGGCTGGGATTAAATTCGTGATTGGGTTTGTGTGGTTTGGTTGGTGGGGGGAGCAGTAGTTTTACATTCAACTGGATTTGGAGCATAGCATAGGATACTTGATAGATGGTTAGACAGGGTACTAGATGGGCGAGACACGTGGCTAATGCATGATAGACCTACATATGCATCTCTATGCATCTCTACGCATGGCTACAGGGGTTAGACCAGGATAAATAGTGTCAAAAAGTAAAAGTAGTAAATAAATATAAAGTAAGTCATGGAGGTAGTGGGTGTCTATGCAGTCTCAGGCACAACAAAAGAAAAGAGACAGCCGAAAAGATCGAATCAACCAGTCCACAAATTAAAACAAACAGTCGCAATCCAAGACAATCGCAGAATGGTATCTCGAAGCAAAGCAATGCTCAACGCGACGGTACACAGAAAGCTGAAGAAACGAAGAAATGAAAAAAAAAAAAAAAAAAAAAAAAAAAAAAAAAAAAAAAGAAAGAAAGAAAAAGAAAAGAAAACTGGCATCGCGCGCGATAGCGAAAACTCATCGCAAGCAATCAAAACAGAATGCCGCGCTCATGCAAGAAACGAAACGAAATAAAAACCAAGGTGCGCCTCCCGATCCTGTACCAGTATCATCCTGCGCTAGAGAACAGAACAACAAACGAAAAGAGATATTACTTTTATGACCTGTCCATAGACGGCCTGTATGTAGTCAGACTCGTATGAGTCTGTATTTTGCATGTGAATCATGCAGATGGCCGGCGGAGAATCTCGTCACAGTTGGCGTCGAACCGCATGTTCCACAGACGGATACTGTTCATCAGTTTCTCCGTGTTTTCGAGTTCGCGGTCCCGGCCGAAGAGTGACTCGACAAATTCGCAGCCGGCGTTACGACCCATCGACACTGCCTTGCCCTCGCGCTTGGCCACCTTCCACATGAAATGTTCACAAGCCTTGAGCAGCTTCTTGAACCGCATCCACAGTCGTTCGCCGCTTTCCAGAAAGTCCGCAACGGTTTCGCGCGATTCGCGACGCTGGATCCGGTCGAGACACTCGTCCGCACGCTTAACCTTGCCTGCCAACTTGATCAACAGCAGCCACATATCTCCCGCGACATCGGCCATCGGAGTGGAGGCGCCATTGTGAAAAACGGTCCAGTCGTAGATCCACTTTCCCAACGAGTTGGCGTCGAACACACTACCGAGAAGAACAATCGGGGCTTCGGTAGGGTCCCAGTTCTTGGTCGAGTATCCGGCAGGAATTCCAGCGCGCTCGGCATCTTCTTCGGTGGCTACTGGCGTGGTCTTGGTGCTCGAGGTCGACTTGGGCTTGGATGGAGTGCGGGTGGATGTGGACTGGCGACGCGCGCGAGACCGTTTGGAAGACATATCGGCATCATCATATGCAGGCACCTGGTTATAATAAAAATATTGATCAGTTGGGGGCTTTGGCTTGCGATGAGAGGAAGATGGGCGTCGGGACCGGCGGTCGCTATCTCGCTGGGGAGTCGAGTAGGACGGCAGTGGCGATCGCGAACGACGGTTGTGGAAGACATATCGCGGCACATCGTCATACACATCGTCATACACATCGTCGACCACGTCCACAAAGGGGTGACGCTGCTTGTGCGGCGGACGAGGGCCTGCCGCAGCAGAATAGCGACGGTTGGGAGAGGACGGAGGATAGCCACAAGAAGCACTTACAGGATCGTGCTTGCGCGGTGGTGGCGTGCCAAACTCTGGGGGAACATCATAGTAACTGTGCGAGTAGGAGGCCGGATGACCCCAGTCTTTGGCGGAAGGACCGGCATAACTGGCCTTGCGAGTATGACGCTTGGACGAAGTGCCAGAAGCACCTCGAGGCGACGAGACGTAGGGACTGGCGTACGGAGTCGCATAGTAGGCGTAGGCAGGAGAGGTGGGAGGAGAAGCGTAGTCGTAGGCCGACCAGCCCGGGTGAGGAGGTGGAGGAGGATTGTAATGATACATTATGTGAAGCAGTAAATAACGAAAATAAAGCGACTTTTTAGACTCCCGAGAGAAACACGACAGGTGTATAATACAGGGATATCAAATGCAAACAGAACCAGCAAATAACACAACTAGCAGGGAAAAAAAAAAACCAGCAAAAGCAGCAAAAGCAGCAAAACGACCAAACCGTCACCGAAGCGAGGAATCCAATCGTACACGAGTAGAGGGAAGCGTTGAGGTGCGAGCGGACATTGGACTGGTGAGACGCTGTTGGTAGAGAGTAACTTCAGTCTACCACCGATTGAGAGGTGATGATATATGTAGGAGGTGAACCCAGAAAAGAAAGGGGAGAGTGAGCGATTAAAAGCGAGGGAGCCGAGGGTTTTGTAGGTTTGTCATTGGTGCCGTGGTCATAACATCATAACAGGCCGTGGGATTAGTATGGTATTTGCCGTACATGTATTATTATTATGTATTATCACCTGACAGACGGGTCATTGTGGCTCAGCTTGATTCACTATTATTATTATGTCTTATATTATCTTGTGGCAATTCAGCTTTCTCCTATATTCAGCTCCCTTATCTACCTATGGCTATTACCTATGGAGTACCATGGAGTACCATGGTAGACAAAGCACTCCCGTCTCAACCCGCGGTTCATACTCTGTACAAGTACATACATAACTTAAAAAACTCTGCGTTGGGTATTACCGCCACTGATCAGACCGCTCCGTACTTGGAACGGACAAAGTCTATGGAATATACAAAAAAGAAAATCTAGAAGGATTCAAAACGCTAGTCCATCCTTATTCTCACGCACCGCATTGGCCCGTTGAAAATTTTTCGCTCGTAGAATTTTTTGCCAATCAGAGAATGCCCCTGACAGGGGTAGGAGTAGTACTATGTACAGAGTAAGGGGACGGATCCGACCCGATTGAATCGAAACCATTCTCTGTAATGACCTATAACATGACTATAACATCCGGAGTACAATGTCCGGTCAGCTGGACTCGTCGATTCAGCTTATATAGTATCGGCGATATCAGCCGCAGGGTATATCAAACGCCCCCTACTGACTCACAAACACCGCTCAAACATTGCAAGTCTCCCAGGGTTCCGGGTCCATATGCACGAATGCACGGCCTTAGGATCCTCTCTATGTCTGGCATATCGCAATTATGGTCCGAATTCCGAGTCAGTCCCGAGAATTTAGACGCGTCAATCTTTGCTTGACTCTTGACTGTGTTTGATATGTGTTTTATTATTGTTATTGTCGGCGCGTTGGTATTCGATGTCGGAATGGAATGACTGATTGTTGATTGTTTGTTGTTCTTGCCCTGGTCTGTAGTCCGTTGTTCAGCAGTAAGACTAAACCCTGACGCCGTGCAAATAAACATCTGCAGGTTGGATTTTGAACCGGTCCAGCTTCTGCACGCTCCATCTCTATCAACCGGGTTCTCGGATTGTAACTACTTGGTTGGCTTTCGTTTGGGATAGATATGGACAAAAATAATTCATCCAGGAAGCGTGCGCCACGAGGCTGCAGTATTACCTAACTATAGACAGTAACTAACTACAGTACTACTCTATGCAATATGGGCGCTGCCATGCAGTCAGATATAAACTAGGCTATGTATTAACTCAGGTTGGTACTAGCCTTGCTGTGTTACGGAGTACAGGGCTCTTCGTCTGGCCTCTGGAGAGGCTTAAAGTACGTACTATTGTACTCCGTACAACAGTGCAGATATAAATACTAGCACGACATGGCTTGCACTATCAGCTCTGCCCTTGATTGACTGCTGTACGAGTATCGTGATACCAGCCTGGCGCTTCGGCTGTATGTAGCATAACTATACGGTAGCATTTCAAGTCTGTCCAATGTATAACTAGTCAATTGTTCGTTATACTCTGCCGTAGGGATCTTGCTCGTTCTACAGTAACAGATCAGCCACAGGTACTGTTACCACGCCAGGAGTAATCGCTATTGCTACAGGACAATGCATTACTACTACTGCTGCTCGGATAATGTCCCTCTCGAATGATATCACTCCGATAACTAGTTATACTCTGTATATCCAATTATGTAATCAGGAACCACCCCTTGACAAGTGACAACATCCACAAAATCCACAATAATACCAGGAAATGGCATATTATTCCACTATCACCGCTACAGCCGTATCAATGGACTTGCCAATCGCTTGACGGTGACCGGTACGGTCTGTATACACACACACACATACATACATACATACATATATCTGCATGTTCACCGTCTCTGTATGTACTCAGTACTTGCGTGATAAGGTGAAAAATAGACCTATTCAGCACCTCGACCAGAACAGTAGTATAGAATACTACGACCACTTCAAAAAACTCCCCAAAAAGGAAAGTGGGATACCCCTCAGTCCCTCGTAAAAGTCTGTTCATCCTGCACAATACCCCTCCAAAATGCCAAAATGCCCCCCCCCCCTCCAACAACCCCTCCTCCACGCATAACATCATAGCTCATGGAGTGACGGAGAATCTTCTATGGAGCAACATAGCACATCTAGACCGACTATGCAGCCTTACAACTCAGGATACGATCAGGCCGAAATGGGAAATGGCGGCCTCACTTTCAAAATAACTTTTTTTTTTTTTTTCAAATACTGCCTCGCTAACGGCGGTAATTCTGCTGGTTGGTTCCCGATAAGATGACATGTTCATGCTTTGCCGAGTCTTCTCTCCATGCAGACGCACAAGTCTGACAGGCTGTTTAAGTTGCGTGCTGACCGATAGATGGTGGTCAGACGATGAGCGTGGTTTTGGCAATAAACGAAAATATGTAGATTTTGCATTATGTACCGCTGGTAATCGGTGAAATATATATTACTCTATGTACAGGGTCTAGTATATACATGTCATGGTATGAGATACCTTCATCAACAGATACCAGATCGGGCCAGCCAGCATAAGGTATCACTACGTTTAAACCACCATGTACTCGGAATCCGCTCGTTTGGATCGCATCGCCTGCTGCCATCGGAAGCCCCGTTCAAACGCCAGTGCTTCGCTCGGTGCCCGCCAGTTTCCGTGTCCGTCTGTTGTGGCGTTCTGTGCCCAGATCTTCTCCAGTAGATCCAGGCACGCCAGGTTGTTGCAGAATCCAGAGTCTCGGGAGATGTCCCGACATCGCTGGCGAATCATGCTGCGGTCGCTTTCCAGGACACATTCCGATCCCGTGACGAAAAGTGGCCAGAGTAGGTAGGCGTCTGATTGCACTGCTGTGAGATGGTGCATGACGACCTGCACGATGTTTTGGAAACGCGAGTGGCTGGACGGTAGATCCGGATACGCAAGTCGTTCGCTGTAGAGGATCGCCGCGTGTCGGAATGACTCAGACACATGGAAGATTTCCTCATAGTGTTGGGATGCGACCGTCGACAACGACGATGGCGACGACGGCGGCGAGATATATGGCGGTGCAGGCCTGGTTCCACTGCCATGAGGCAGATACCGCCACGCTTCCAATTTTTGACGCAGAGAATACCACTCGCTCCAAAATGCAGGCGACGTCGGCCAAGGGCTGGGCGCATTGACCTGCGGCGGCGGAGCGGTCGGAAATCCGTTAAGATTGACCGCTGCCGGAACACCACCGGGCACGACAAACATGCCCTGTGGATGAGTCATCGACGGCGGAAGGGTCGTCGTGGGAACAGATATCTCCGGGGCCGTTGGGCCCCGCGGCGTTCGATCCTGGCTGAGCAGATTCAAACGACCCAGTTGCGCAACCAGTCGGAAAAGGCCGGCGTCGCAGCCGGCAAGCTCCTCGAGGCCCCAGTCTCCGTCTGATAGGGAGGTAATGTCCAAACACGTACCGCGCAGGTGGCTCTCACGATCATTGGTTGTTGCAGTCATCGTGTCAAACCAAGTGAACATACGGATAAACCATTTCAGATCATCCGTCACTCTCCCGCTCGCACGCATCCGAATGGCCAACAACTTGGTGACTCCTGCAAACTGCGTCTTGAATTGGGCAACCCCCGTGTCGCAGACATGAAACAGGCACAAGATGAGCAGAGTCGCCAACACTGAATCCGACAATCGTTGTTGCGGATCCGCCAACTCCGCATTCAAAGCTTTCACGGCCCGTCCGCGGTGGTACTGTTCCTCCTGCGCAATTTCCGAGGCCGAGTGGCTTCCCGGATCTTCCTGGGTCAGCGCCCGATGCGCCATGTATGACATTCGAGACGCCGGGGTCCTCTCCGTGGACATGGTCTTGCGCGCTTGCCGTTGTCGCAAGTTACTGGTCGAAAGAGTCGCGATGGCCTCTTGAAGGGACTCACTATCCCGTGCCAGATGTAAAATGTGCGCGCGGAACGGGTTCGTCGGGCTGTCAAACGCCACAATCATCGGGGCGATAACTTCAGCATAGTAACTGATCAGATACCGAAGACGAGGCGTGTTTCCAACTGATCTCGACAGAAGCATCTGAGAATACGACGGAGAAGGACATTGTGCCCACGAAAATGCGTTCTCATAGTCCTGTGTTTCCTGCGCCTCTGATCCCTGTCTGGGCCATTGCGCCGTCATTGAAGGCTGACTGACCGCTTTAGTTCCCATTGCGAAAAACGGAGGAGTGTTTGCTGCCAGACACTCTCCAAAATCAACCTGAGTGGTTGAACTTGGCGAATAAGCCGTCGGAGAATACATGGATGTACTGGGCCAGACCTCCGGAACCAAAGGCAACCCATGTGGCCATGGCATCCCATTTTGCGCAGTATCCGACGCGGGAGACGGTTGCTGAGAAGGCTGTTGATAAGGTGCTACTGATGGTGATGTTGATTCCAGCGGGGTCGCGCCCGGAACATTCGATGGAACAGAACGAGGAGGGGTCGACGAGGTTGCCGGTTCAGGTTGGTTGGCTGAAGAAGAGGGCCACGATTTCGAAGTCGTGGTCGGTTGAGCCCCTGTCACCGGCAGGGATAACCCCCGTAGTTTTCCTCGACTGGCGACCCCAACCCCCCAGGTTAAGGTGGTTTTGTATCCCGCGCATTCTCGACCCGAATCCAGGCATTGCGAACAGTATGGACGACGGCGGTCGCAACGCGAGCTCCGCTTAGTGCAGGTGAAGCAATCGTCCGACGCGCCACTGGCGACGGTTCGTTTTCGGCGTTTCCTGGGGGCAGCAGTTGAGTTTGCAGGCAACTTGCGCGACTGGGCACGAGAAGTCGACTCGAGACGGTTGGAGTTGGAAGCGAGTGTCATTGTCGGAAGCCAGAAATGCGGAGGCGCTGGGGACTGCGGGGTCTCATGGGTGAGGATACAGAGTATAGAGAATATAGAGTAGAGAGAGAGAGAGAGAGAGAGAGAGAGAGAGAGAGAGAGAATAGAACAAGCAAAGTAGTAAAGAGAAACCTAATGCTAGTGAGAATAAGATGTTCAGGATGTCCACACACAAACGTTAAAAGCGTGAAGAACCCAGAGTTCGCAGCGAAGAAGAACAGGAGACGAACAAAGTCTGGAGAGGCGCAAGATAAGCGACGATCCACGCGGCTTCATCCGACTGTAGAGTTGAAAAAGTCCCTGGATCGGAGATTTCTGTACTGGCTAGTTTATCCGCTGATTCTCCATTTGTGCATTTTGTCGATATAGGGATACTATGTATGGTTATATATAGGGGAGTAGAAGGGTTCGAGAACTGGACTCTAGCGTATCCCGTATTCATGTTGTTCCTGTAGCAAGTCTGTATCATCGCCATGGTGCTGTCGTGTCTGATCGTCATGTCAACTGTAGGGGTAACTGTTCCATACTCTGTAACTAGTTACTCTGTACTTGTAGGTATTCCTGTGTTGGCTTAGGCGTCTGGGGTTAACCGTACAGGGTAGGGACCGAGACCCTGTGGCACGTGAACCTCCTGACTTCTCTCTCACTCTCTCACTACTACTTCTCTGCCCGCTGCTCCTCCATTTCTATTTTCGTGGTTCAACTTAAGCTTCAATTCAGTTATCTTTGATTGTCAACCTTCATCTCTTCTCCCTGATTGACCCAAACTGACCCGCCCGTTTCCAATTCTGACTTCAACTGTGCTAACGTTGCGCCCTTTTGGGCCAGCGACCGTGCTGCATCGGCCACCTCGAGGCTACAATTAGACTCACCACTTTTATTCTCCGACTCTAGTTCAGTCGATCTGAACAGGAATACCTACACAATGGGTACCCTCCGTCTCGCCAGGCTGAGGTCTATCCTCCTGGCCATGATTACTGTTCTCCTCGTCAGCGCTATCTATCTATACTGGATCCCGACTCCTGCCTCGACCCCTGCCTCCGTCGTTCCCAATACGGCCTTCCAGGTGCCTCTGGCGGAGCGACAGAATGCTTTCTGGAAAGCCTTGCATCCGTTCCTGCAGAAAAATGCCCCCGCGAACCCTCCCCCCGAACGTCGCGGAGATGTTGGTGCGATTCACTTCAATGCCTCCTCGACCGATCCCCGACCCGACCTGATCCTCCTCAACGACCAAGATCGAAATGCGATGCAAGTGGCGCACGAGAACTTTGTCCTTGATGTTCGTCATTCAAAGGCTTTGCGACCGGTGCATAAACCTGGATCCAGAGGCATTGTGTCGACCGCAGGGGGTTCATACTTGCCAGTGTTCTTGTCGTCATTGCGGATGCTGCGTCGGGTTGGATCTACACTGCCGGTGGAGGTATATATGAAGGATTCGACAGAGTACGAGAAGCGCATCTGTGATGGGATCCTTCCGAAACTGAATGCGCGGTGCCTTGTGCTGGCAGACGTGGTGGGCAAGGAGACCATTGCGCACTACCAGCTCAAGGTGTTCGCCATGCTGTTTTCTTCGTTTGAAGAAATTCTCTGGATGGACGCAGACGCCTTCCCACTCTACAAACCCGAGGAGATCTTCGACGCGGACCCCTTCAAATCCACGGGATTGATCACCTGGCCCGATTTTTGGGCGTCATCAGTGTCCCCGGCCTACTTTGCTCTTTCGCAACAACCAGAACCACCAATGTCTGCACGACAGTCGTCGGAAACAGGCGTCCTCATGGTGTCAAAGAAGACCCATCTCACGACTTTGCTTGTGGCGGCCTACTACAACTACTACGGCCCTTCGCATTACTTCCGATTGCTGTCGCAAGGTGGCCCAGGCGAGGGCGACAAGGAGACTTTTCTACAGGCAGCGTCGGCTGTAGGAGATCCGTCCTACGCCGTGAGTGAACGCGTGGCAGCCATCGGGCACCCAAAGGACGGCGAAGACGGAATCTCAGGATCGGCCATGGCACAATCGGACCCCATTCATGACTACGTCCTGACCAGCCAGGACAAATGGCGAGTCCAGGACCCGGCCGTGGCTGAGCCTCCACGAGCGTTCTTTATCCACGCACATTACCCCAAGTTTAACCCAGCCGAAAACATCTTTGGCATGAAATGGGAAACCGCCCCGACCCTTCGACCTGATGGCACCGACGGACGGGCATGGACGACACCCGAGGACACACTCCAGCGGTTCGGATACGATGCGGAGAAGGCGTACTGGGAAGAGATCAAATGGGTCAGCTGCAATCCGGACATCGAGTTTAGGACGTGGAATGACAAGCCGAAGGTCTGCGCCAGGGTCGAGAACTACTGGCAGAATGTCTTTGCGGAGCCGCATCAGGATGATCCTAAATTCGGGGGGTGATGACTGACTGACGAGGTTCATGGATTTATCATTAACGCCAAAGGGCGTATATTCCTATCACGCATTGATAGGGTGTGGCTTCTTGCATGACTGGAATGCCTTCCCCCGCCCAGGGAAGTTGCGCCGATGTCCAGGACATAGCGCGACCAGCGATTGGCTTCAAAAGTTCCACCCTAGGCTGCATATATACAGCATACTGTCACTACGAGTCAAGACCATCATGTTAATATCTCCATTATTAAGATACAAGTCATGAGACCATGGAAAATCTAATGATACACATCCCAACCAAAAATGCTAAACAATCATAAAACGACATCATAAAGACTCATGCACCGAATTATTTGATACCCTTCTCGCGCAGTCTCAACTCATCATCCTTCTGGAGGTCGTGGTCGACCTGGGCACCCCGAGAGGGTTCGTGTCCGTGTAGCACGGCCTGCACGTATATTAGCCTCTGCTTATTTCACCAGCGGATCAATGTAAACATACCGGCGCCTCGGGGTTCTTCTTGCTCAATTCAGCTTCAGGGTCATAGCCCGAACCCGATGCCTTGGATGAATCAGTCTTCTGCGACTGAGCGGCGAGCTTGTTGGCGATGGAGCGGTCGTCCTCTGTTCTCGTTAGCCAACCATCATTATGCTCCAGTGACCAATGACAAACGTACTCGAATCAATGTTCTTGTGACTCCGGTGCTGACCCTCCTCGTACCTCTCGCGCTCGTTGATCTCGGACTGGGGGACGTTGCGCTGGTCACCGGCTTCGTAGATGGCGCCGTGGCCGACGTTGGAAAGGCCTGCTCCGGAGGTGTTGGATTGCATTGTGTTTGTGTGTGTGCTGTTTATATGTGTATGCTATTATCGTGAAGAATAGTTGCTGATTGATGGTAGAGAGTTCCTGGCCACGACTGGGTTCTTATACTGGGACATATCCGGACGCAGAAGTTGTGATGTCATACTGAATCGGTGAGATCATATAGTGGTTTTGGTGGGGCGAATTGCAACACAGCAGGATTGTACTTGGCCGGCATCCTGAACACGGGCTTCGAAGAAGAGGGAACAGTTAACAGGGTGTGGTATTGTGTCATGTTCTATTCGGTGTACATACTCGATCCCGTACAGGGAGGGTTGCGCAGATCTACCGTAGTAGCCCCATTCAGGCACGCGACACACTAGTTAGTTAGTAACTAGTTAGCTACGGAAGAGGTTTTAGCGACATCGAGGCTACCCTAATCCACTCTGTGTTTGTATTCTGTACGAAGTAGAGCATCGAACGACGTCCACGTGACTGACAGCCCAAAACGGTAATAGTAGATCGCGCTCATCTGTGCTGTAAAATATAGCACCCTTATTCTATGGGACAAACTAAGGCATGGACGGTATTTAGTGTGGTCATTATTACAGTATGATATCGTTAGGCACCACCGACGTGCCAAGATCGAAAGGTGCAATCAACATATTTTGTACTGGTTGATTCCATACCCCCCCCCAAATGTCTGGCCCTTGTACAGTACTATCTTCTACACTTGAACGAGTAGCTAAGACGCGTGACTATATGTCCCTCGAAGGAAATCGAAGCGTTTACACCTAGGCACGAGACCGTATCCTCGTTATGGTCTCGCATCAAAAAGCAGCAGGTCGTCTATGTGCGAGGTACTCTAGGAAGTGGGAAGTCAACCCTTGCATCTCTACTTCAACACCATGGTGGCTCGATTGGAACCAAACACGCAGATATGGAATATCACCTGGCCCGAAACGGTCGAGGGCTGTAACACATCCAATCTGTATTGGATTTTACTCAACGCCATTACGAAGCGTCCACTCGATAGGAACGACTGGCTCTCAGGTACACGCCTTTTAGCACACCAGTTTATGGAACGATCTGATCAAATTCATCGTACTGACTGAATTAGCCCAAGCTTCTGCTGGTATTCCTGTACATGATCCTTTCTGATTTATTCTAACTTGGATTTTCCGGATTTGCCAGATCCTCGAGCCCTTTTGCAAAAGTGTCAACAGAGATATCATTTACCGATGCAATCTTTTATCTACAGAGCGACAAATTTCTTGGCTCAAATGATCAAAACTACCCAATTCAGACGTGGTCTCCCTCCGGCCGATTTTTTGAAGAAACACCCAGAAGTTGCCCATCTCTTGCAGGAAGCCGTGTTGCCCTCGCATGTCGGAAAACTTCCAGAGCCGGGGCCTCCTTTGAAGATATGCTACAAGAAGGGATGGTTGCAGGCAGAATTAAATGGAGATCCTAACGATGTTCTAGCCGTTATCCCTACGATCTATGTATTCCCGTCAAACCTACATAAAAGGTAACTCCCCCACCCCGGCCATATTTGTGCTCTTGCTGATCTCTTGAAGATGCGTTGATTATCTCATTCTACACCCTAGTTCATTCCTATAAAAGATTTGTCCTTTCGCAGCAGTCCAGAATTCTGGGATGAGACACTGGACCTCGCTCCTGGAGTAGTTTCTCAGTGTGACGGCTCAACGCCTCAGTGGCTGATATCGACAAACGCCGCCATCCAAGCAAACAAAGAAAGCACTTAGCGCGGTCACAGAACCCATAGATAAAAACCCCCTTTTTTCCTGTCAATGGATTCCTCTTCTTCTTTCCTCTCCAGATTCAATATTCTCGTCGATGGCTACGCTATTTTAGATAGAAATATCATTTCGTTAGTATCTACTAGTCCGAGCCCGTGACACTCAACCAAAACACGTGCTACAATATGTTATTCGCGCCAGATACCGACGAGTGTGAATGTATGATTCAAAAAATATCAGAGATGGAAGCAAGTTTTTTTTTTTTTTTTTTTTTTTTTTTTTTTCTAAAAAAAAAACATCTTCCATAGGTTGGCATCTAAGCTGGCTATTTTTGATGCTATTCTAGGGTCTAGCTGGAGAAATACCATCCCGCTGGCGTGTTGAAGCCAGAGTAGGCCTCTGATTGTATAGTTAAATCCCAACTAGATCATGCATTCCATTTCTTCAAAGTAAGGCTCATATTCGGTGTCTGCAGAAGTGAACATTTCCACCGCTGCCTGGATATCTTGCGTGGTCTGATCGAACACATTGCTTTCCCCCTCCCACAGGGAATAATGGCTTTCTTCTTTCATAAGATCAAACGCTTCTTCACTGAAGCGAAGCCCAAGGTGCCTCTGGCAAAGAAACTGGATAAATTCGTAATGTGGCTCGTGCGTGCTAAAGAATTCATCATACTTATTCGGCTGGCCTGACGTACGGTGCAAGCATTGCAGGAGAATGTCGAGGTTTTCGTAGGGAAAATTGGTGGATAGCGCTGCCATCCTTGTTGATAGGTCCGCCGGCCTCACGCTCAACAATTTGCCGGCATCTTCGATTCGCCGCGGCATGTAAAATTCGTCTGGGTAGAAAGCTCCTGGAATAATGACTGTCGTCTTCTTGGGTTGCGAATGGACCTTTTCTCGTAAGCGAGTCCTGGAACGGATGCATTCGCCGTTTCGCTTCTGATATGTAACTAGATTTTTGTATAGACTGTCTAACTGATAATATGTGAATAAGAGTTGGACGAGCTCGGCGAATATAGTGGAGGCTTCGTTATTGTCAAGGCCGGGTGGGTTTGTGAACCCCATAGATTCAAATAACGACGAGACCTCCTTCAACTGGTGACCTTGAGCTCGTGCTTTACTTAGGCAAACAAGGAATTCGACAAGTGGACCGAAGATCTGCTGATGTCCCTCGTGATCTCCAAAGTTATACGCAGGGTATTTGAGCAGATATTGGGTATCGTTCAAGTCGAATGCAGACTGCACAAAGTACCGCTCTTCAGAGATCGTCGTCTTCAGCGTTTGAAGGAAATCACGAGGACGGTCGTCATCGTATGGGAAAAATGGTTCCTGGTACGCTCGACACAGTGCTGCGCCAACAAGGAAGAGCCGATACATAGACGCGTGGAACCCAACGCGCCAGGTTTCCCACACCTCGGGGTCCTCGTCAAAGTCTTCGAGACCGACCGTGCCTTTGAATAGGTCATGCCAGAAAATGTTCTCAAAACACTTGGCGAGATGCTCATAACCAAAGACACCCAGGAGTTCATCGTGCGATGGGAGGTTTATCTCTGGACTGAGCTGGTGGAATGGAAACGGATCCGGAGGTAGTTCTCCATTCGCAAGGTGTCCCTGCGCTATGACAGTGGCGCGAACCTGGGGGGGGGCAATTAGTCGCAGATAATTGCCATAGTCGGGCAAATGGACTTACTGCTATTAAAGCATCGTCAAATGCCCGGATCTCGACTCTCCCGAGCCGGCGAATAATCGGGGAAGAGATGGACAGCCATAGAGAACGGAATCTTCTGCATGCCGAGCCTAGTGCAATGGCTTGTTGGAAGGTGTCACAACTGTCGAAGATCTCTGTAAGAACTTCGGCTGGTAGGCTTGTAGGGGATGTCATTGTGGACTATTCTGGGGAAGAGAAGGTGGTTGTCATCGTCGGTGCTTGGCGGTAAAGAGTCACAACCCCGATCCCGGCGAGTTCTCATGGGCATAACTCAATCACAAGAAAAAATCTCTTCTTCTTGCCGTAAATCTCATTTCCAGCGCCTGAACTATGAATTACCATTTGTTCATCTCCCTCGTCACTGCCTCCCGTCTACTCAAACTACTCAGACTCACGGCCCAATGACCAGTCCGTGGTCCAATATCAATTGTCCCAGGTCGCCGCATGGTACCTGGCAATAACCAACCCTTTGCGGGAGATAGACCATCTGAAGGACGTGCTACAGTATTCACCGAACTGTTTCGTTGGGCTCATTTTGACACTAGTCTTGCAAAACTGGATGCAACGAGTAGCTGCTGGTATTGAGATTATAGTATATCGCTTGTGCCGTTAGATTAGAAACCAATGAACCCTGACCTAAGTCAGAATTATAGAAATATCACATAGTTAACTCACTGTTTCCTCAACCTTCTTTCACCGGATTTCAGACTTCTCCTTTAACGAATTCTTTCAAAATGCAGATGCGTGTTGAACCCAGCATTCCCGAAAATCCCGAATACCTCAAACGTCTATTCGAATGCAAAGACTTTACCATTCACCATGACGACTGTCTGGTAGCTATGATGTGGTTGTTCTGGCACTCTCATGAACAGTTTACCAAGATACGCGCTATAATATTTATGCACGCCGTGAGGAGCTTAAGCAATTTTTAGAGGATGAGCGCTATACAGCGCATCACGAGAATATAAAAACAGCCATCAGTATATATGATGAGGATATCCTACCCAGTGAACAACGTGTGTGGATACGGGGAGGTCCGGTTGTTGATGAAAATGATCTGATCGTTGAAAATGGACATCCATATTGGGGTGAAGTATATCTAACCATTCCTTTACACTTCTCTTACTGCTACTCTTGTTGATGGAAGCTAATCAATGTGTTTCAGGGGTTTCCTGAACAGTCGTGAGATGATGCAGGTGGCTTGACTCTGGTTCTCGCTTATGGGATGATCGAGGCTCGGAGATATTGGCTTTATGATTTGTGAAAGGTATAGCAACCATTGAATTATACTATTGTACTTGGTGCTAAGGCAATGACTTTCGTTGATACAGTCTACTTGTTTTCATAGGACCTACACAAAACTGGAGACCCTGTCACCGTAACAACTTGATCAAATTCTGCATGACTGTAGGCCTACATGGTTATATTCAACAGCTGTGTACAAGTACCCCTACATCATCTTCCCTTCCCAGTGTTTGGGAGCCCTACGTGCTACGCACCACGTTTGGCTATACCCGACAGTGATTTATATACTGTTTTCTGTTTGGCGTGGGCTTACGGAACCGCGCGTATTGGTCAGGAAGATAAGCAGGGCATTGAAAGCCTTTACGGAGCGGGAACTTTACCGGTACCGGGATTTCTGGATGGCCCTCAGCACCTTCATACTCAGGCGGATCACCAGTAGTCTGGGTGATTGTGCTTTGGATTGGTGACACAAGGGACATGCTAGAAACGTGCAACGGGCTTGGAACAAGTTCGAGGTTGTGTGAGACGTGGTCCGATGATACTCTTGACTCTTGACCTCTGACAGGTAACAGAAGTGACTCCCTTATTGTGTTTTTAAACATGTCTCGCTTGTCTCGTTCTGGGAAAGAGGCTGGAAGTTTGTTCCTAGGCTGTTCTCTCTCGCATATCAATCAGTCTTCGACGTATACAGAAGTCAACAAGAAGCCATGGAAGACCGACATCTCTACGCCAACCAGTTAGCGAAGATGGTTGTGCGAGGTGGCATTCCAGACAGTTGAGAAGCAACTCCTGCCCCTGCATCTGTTGCCCGCAGGTCAACCAAGATCCCTGATCTCCCGATGCTCACGGATGGCAAGGAGTCCCGTTTCGAAGACTGGTTGCTGTTGATGGGCCAGAAACTGGCTGCCAATGCAGATCACTTTGACGCTCCCTAACTCCACATGGTGTACATTACCAGCTGCTGCAAGGGTAAAGCACACAAGCACATCACTCCTTGTATGCAAGATGATGCTATAAACCCATATAATGACTCCAAGGGAATGCTCGACCACCTGAAGACGATTTATAGCCATCCAAACCGCGTCACCACTGCGAAGCACCAGTTCCGACAACTATACATAAAAGTTGGTGACAAGTTCCATGACTTTCTGAATTCCTGTACCTTGCCGCTGAAGCAGGTGTCGCTGAAGACGATTGGAAAGGATAAGCTGCACCACAAGTTGATAACAGAGCCCCAGAAGCTGTGTATCTCAGATAGCATCAAGGATGGCACCTTCCAGGAGTTCTCATGCGCTGCTTCCCAGACCGCTAGTCGACTTGAGGTCATCAACCACCGAACCCAGAAGAATCACGCCTTCAACTCCACCTCAACCAGCAAGGGCACCACCGGTGAAAGCCCTACATAGATCAGTGGTGGTTTCTTGGGGCATTCCGGAAAGGAAGGAGGGGAGGGGGGGAATACCAGATATTGGGCATGATTAGCGATCCCTTCGGGATGCGATAGCCCTTGTAGATGTCGTCTTGGGTGCACATGTGCGGGATAACCATCGGGGCGACAGGGTGCCAGCGGAGGGTTTCTTTGACAAGGGCGTCGATGTAGGGGAGGTTCTCATGGTCAGTGTAGGAGGGGATCTTGTTTGGTCCAAGGATGCGATTGATCTCCTCTTGAGCTTTGCGTTGGACGTCTTGGTAGAGTCCCATGGCGAGGAAGAAGCATGATAGAGCTGATACAGTCTAGGTAGTTCAGCAATGGCTAAGATAGATGGCTGGGCTGCCGTACTGTGTCTGCTCCGCCTGTATAAAGCGATCCGGCCGCCCATTTGGCTATGAGTTCCCATTTGTCGGAGACCCCTTCTAGTAAACTGGCGAGACATGAGGGCGAGTAGTTACCCCTGCGCATCTGCCGTCGAACCAGGAGGTAGGGCTTCTCAATTGTCGTGAGCAGGGTCCGTCGCCACACGTTGGCCGTCTTCTTGAATCCCATCCCTGGGAACCATGTCGGCAGCTGTTTCACTAGATCGCAAGTCAGCGACATCCAGTAATAAAATTGGAATTTCTCCATAGTATCAACCAGCCACATCCCAGGCATCCCGGCAATGGAAAACTTTTCCATTGAGTCATTCACCAGATCAACAAGCGGTTCACGACCATGGGGCTCAACTGCATAGCCATACGCAATCTTCAAGATCACAGCACCGGCTTCCCTACACTCTGTCAGTGACACGGGCCACATAATTTGGAATATGTAGTACAGCATACGTCCGAATATGCTGCACCAGATCCTCCGGGTGATGCAACACCCGCAGCAGAAACCTTCGGATCTCTACCTCCTGCAGCGGGTTGAAGCGCGTGACCGTCGTCTTGGAGCCCAGCACTTGATGCATCACTTTGCGATAGCTGCGGAACCTGTCTGAGTATGTCTGCATTGACAAGATGTCTTTCCAGCCCACCCTGCATTCACCATCAGTTTGGTTTTCAAGGAATTGTGGGGGTTAGTGAGGTTGGCATTTCCCCAGCGAAGACCATATGCGGTCGTGATGAGTAGATTGCTGAGCGCTTCTCCATCAGATCAAATGCCATTTGGGACTTGGGAGTCATTGAGAATGACGATCGTTTGGCCGAAGATGGTAATGGAGCTGATTGGGCCTATCAATTGGTTTGCAATAAAGAATTAGAGAGGTTTGTCGTATCATAGACAAGTCGTGAGCCTACCGTAGAGCTCCTTGAACATCGCCCAATGCTCCCAATCCTTCTTCCCCGGCGGCGGCAGATCCCCCAGGTTCCCAATGAGAGGCTTCCCCTTGGGACCTGGTGGGAGCGGCGCCAGGTTTTGTCTGGGCGACAGGAGCTGTCTGAGCACATACAGCGCAGCAAGTCCCAGGAGGACACTGGCAAGACTGGAGAGCCCCATGGTGACGAGGAGCTCAAAATACTGGGAGGAAAGCAAAAATATGATGAAAGTGATCCAATGTTTCTGTCTAATTCAAAGAGGGCCTCGTCATTCTTATTGGGTCCGAACCAGTTAGGCTTCCAGGCCAAATTGGGGGATCTACCAGAGTCAATGGACCATTCGTCCAAACTCCAAAAGTGTTGACCCCCCCCCCCCGATTAGTCATGATCAATCAGAGCCCGAGCCTCCCAACTACCCTAAACGTACGACTGACTGCTGTCCGAGCATATGCATGAACGGAGACGACTGTATGATGATAGGATTGGGGACTACGGCTACGCAGCCAGCATCCTTTGACTATGGACCAGCGCATACACGCATTATGCACTTTGTATTCCTTTTGTCTCTGAACTTTTTTTCGCAATGATTTCCTTTAATAGTTAGATTGATGGCCGCCAGATTGTCTATATATAGGCCTTACGATAGATAGTTTTCTCAATCAGAGTTCTTCCTCTATTCATTCCGAATAGTGCCTATGACATTCTACCGAGCATAGTAGTTGACAATAGTTATGTACAGGCATATGATAAAGAATGTATAAGTCCGCAGTGCGGGTCGGTGCCCTAACACAGTTCAGAAAGGAAAGGGCGCTGGTATGATCAGGGTAGGTTTGATCCATGGATCTAACTGAGTTCATTGCTTCTATGATTTACTTTCATATGTGTTTCGCAAAATGTCAAAATATCTCTAGTCTGAACGTTGTCATGGTCAATTTGTACTTGTATTTATCAACACAAAACAGAGGCCATTCTGTTAAAAATCGTGAAATTGACTGTAAGTCCTGAAGAGCTCAACTGGTATCCAGAGCCATGTCCAGTCTTCAATAGACAAATTCTGCACACAATCATTAGCCCATAGTATTCTTCCCATTGTGTATACTCTCCAAATTTACCCTTAATTACGCGAACACCAAGTCGCCGTTTTCGTTGATAATACGCTCGGCCAGGTTGATCTCAGCGGGGACGAAACTCCCATCAGCCTCTGTCAGTTGTGCCTGAAGAACAGGCACCTCACCCTCAAAGTCCAACTCGACATCATCAGCAGTCTTGGAAAAGTTCCCATCCCCCCACTGGAACTGACCTAATTCAAAACAAGTCCATTCAGTTAGATACAACTAAGACTTCCAGACAGGAGCAGAATGGGGAAAAGTTCCATACCATCGTCATTTCCAAGGATCTCGTCCAGGTCAATAGAAGAATCAATTAGTTCGCCGTCATCATTTTTAAGCTGGGCAACAAGGACGTGGTCACCATCAATGCGGATTGTTTTCAGCACTCAAGTGGAAGCTCATGATGAAAGATTGGTTGAATCAAAGTATTTCAAGCAATTTTCTTTTGTATGTTGAGAGATGATTGATGTTTTCTGTTCTGTCTTCTATGTTTCTCACGCCGGATCGCGCTCTCTATATATACCCCATCTTGCCCTCACCATTCCCACCAGGTGGAACTTCCCTTCAGCTGAAGGTTCAGCTAAGTACTTGCATATTTACCATACCACTTAGCCTCAGATTATTTGCTTATGGGCTTGTGTGGGTATCCCTGACTAGTAGAACCTATTATGACACATTGGGATCTCAATTCTCAGCTAGGATAGGCAGCCCGAGTTGAAAGGTCTAATCAACTGCGACCGCTTATATGTATGTACACAAGAGTGATATTGATAGACTATATCCACCATGATAATAAAATGAATGCTTAGCCATCTAAAGCGTATGGCTACGGTGTTCCTATATGAGGAATCTGTCAGACTCAGTAAGTGGACCGACTATTAATCCGTCTCAACTTTCATCACTCCCCTTCGTACAGTCGCCGCGAATATCAATCTATCTGGCAAAAAGAAAGCAATAACAATTGACAATTTCATAAGCGGCGGTTGGATGCGCACTTCAACTTCCATATGTGTTGAAACTTCTCCTTTTCCTCCGATCAATCCATGCCCACGCTATCAAGGAATCGTGTATGGGCATTGTGATGGGTGGCCTTCGTTAGAGCATCAGCAATCATCTTGTCTGTTGGCAAATGCTCAAGGCGAATCTCTCCATTGCCTATATGGTCCCGAATGGCATGGTAGCGAACGGCTATATGCTTTGTCTTCGGGTGGTCAACAGGATTATCGGCTAGGTGGATGGCGCCCCGGTTGTCTTCATATATGATTGTAGGCCCAACCAATCCTCTTCCAATGGCGTATAGGAAGTGGCGGATTCAAATTGCTTGTTTGGTGGCCTCTGAAACTGCCATATACTCAGTCTCCCCTTCGCACTGAACGTCAATCCAAAGGTGATAGTTCCCTTGATATATCGGAGTATGTGTTTGGCTGCTCCGAGGTGAATTTGGCGAGGTTCAGCAAGATATTGAGACAACTGATTCACTGCAAAGGCAATATCTAGTCTGGTTGCTATAACCAGAAATATCATTCGTCCAATTAATCTCTGGAACAGTTTATGCTCGCTTCTTCCCAATCGCGGACTATCCTCCGAATTCAATTTGACGCTTGGGCTGATCGATATGCTTGCTGGATTGCAATCAGCCATGCCAAACTCCTCTAGAATCTGATGTGCGTAGGATTCCTGGTCTAGGCGAATAGTCCCATCTTTCCTCCATGTGAAGCGGATCCCAAGCAGCTTCTTGATTAACCCAGAGTCAGTCATTGGATGAAACCCCTTCAGTTTCCTCTTTGAGTGCATCTATCTCACTCTGATCCTTGCCGAATATGACGATATCATCCACGTAAAGGGCGATAATCAATCCTCGCTTATTGATGAATATGCTAGGATCCACGGTGATGGGTTCGAACCCGATCTTCCTCAGGAATTGAGCGATCTTCCGATGCCATAGGTTCGCGGATTGGCGCAGTCCATATAGCGACTTCTTTAGCTCAAGGACCATACCCCCTTTGGCGTCCGGATCAAAATCCTGCAATCCCTCTGGGATCTCCATGCAGAACCAACAAAGGCACTCAATGCATCAAGTAGGTGTGCAACCATACCACATTTGGCTGCAATTGCGAACAGTATCCGCAGGCTATCAAGGCGGAAAACAGGTGCAAAGGTCTCATCAAAATCATCATGCGATTGCTCATTTCCTCTGACAACCAGTCGGGTCCTGAAACGCTTTATTCGACCATCTGGGCCGAGTTTCAAGTCAAATACCCATCTATTAGTGGATATAGTTGACGTTCCATCAACTTCCTTTCGTGGAATCACTTTCTAGGTATTGAAACTGATGAGAGTGCTCAATTCATTATGGATTGCCTCTTTCAATTTTGAGCCGTATATCAGGTCGTTGATGGTTTCACTGTATGACTTTGGTATCCGTATTCCTGCTTTCTCATGTGCCTTATGCCAATCTCATATTCTCGGTCTTCTTGCCATAGCTCAATAGCTACCGCAAGTCTTGCCAACTGGACTTTCAATCCCTCATTTCCTCTCGCTCAGAGATCGCAGACTACACCGTTCGCTGGCCCCGCAACCTGCTCCTTGATGTAGAGGAACGCCGTGCCGAGCTCTAGAGATTCCTGAAAGATGGTCGCTACGCATCGCAACATGAAAACATTAAAACCAATCCATCTTCCTTTCTGAATCGATTCATTAACGATTTCCTTAGGGCGCATGTCACTTCCTGCTGCTAACGAGGAGGCTGTGAGTATGGCTAGTGGTGGGTTGTCCTATTATGATCATGGGAAATTCAAGCATGATTGATCATAATTCATTCTTCGCGCCTTCTCACTGGCCTTTTATAGAATCCCATGGAATTACAATGTTTCTTAATTGAGGACGTAATTCTTGTCTTATACTCGGGCACTGCACTGAGCCCTATTCTGATCGTGAGACCAGACACGAATTGGATTATCGTCTTGTTGCCCATTTGTACTGTGTTATGCTTATCACTGTTTCTGCAGACCTGATGATTCGAATCCCCTGCCAGTATATTGCCCGAGTATTTGTCTTGTTTCTTGGTATCCGACCGTACAGGTTGCCACTGAACATGGCTAGACGTACTTTATGTATGTATACTTCGGAGATAAGACGGCGCAGCATTTCCCCACACATCCCACTTCGCTGAACATCCAGCACTCAACCACACCCAATTCAACCCCAAGTACACCACTCCTGTACAACAAAATGACCGTCGAACCAGCCTACCAGGACCTTTTCGAGTCCCTGAAATCCCGCTTCCAATCCGCCACCTCCATCGATGCCTCGAAATGGCCCATCCTAGCCATGGCAACCCTCGTCGCGGGGCCTGATCCCGATCACGCCCACAACCTCTACCTGTACCTCCTTAACCAGCCCGAATATAATCAACCGGGCTCGGACGCCCGCAAGGATCTAATCCGCCGTCTACGCGAAGCCCTCGTCAAAGCCATCCCGCTCGTCGGCGTGTGCAAGCCCATCGAGGCGATTCTGGCGATTAGCAACGTTGAGCGGGAGGAGGATAAGGAATACACGTTCACCCGTGAGAACTGGCAATGCGATGCTGCGAACCACGAGCGTGCGATTGGGTGGTTCCAGAAGCTGTACGCGGGGAATTCATCGGGGACGCTGGATCTGTTCCGCTCGCACCGCGACTTTGCTTGGTTATCCACGGAGATCACGTACGGACTGTTCCTGTCTGATCGGCAGGTGCTGGACGATGTTGATACGCAGCTGGTTGTGTTGCCGGGGATTATGAGCCAGAATTTGAAGACGGAGACGCATTGGCATATTCGCGGTACGAGGCGGTTGGGTGTGCCCCAGGAAGATGTACAGGTCATTTGGGATTGTGTGCAGCTTGTTGCGGGGTTCTTTGGGACTAAGCTGAACCGAGTGCCTACAGTTGATGCGGTTGAGCCGGATGTCTAGTTTACGCTTCACGCGTTACGCTCTACGTATATAGATCTACGATAGAGTAGAAAGACATAGACTGAATGCATGCAATTAATCATCTATTCGTGCTCGCATAACCCAATAACCCTGTATAAAACAAACTAGAAAACAAAATGCAAATCCCTTACTCCATCTCGATAGTACCCGGAGGCTTGCTCGTAATGTCATACACCACCCGGCAAACACCGTTGACCTCGTTCACAACCCGACGGGACACCCGCTTCAGGAACTCGCCGTCAAACGGATACCAGTCCGCAGTCATGAAATCCCTGGTTTCCACCGCACGCAGCGCAATCACCTGCTCGTGCATGCGCTTGTCACCCATCACACCGACAGCCTTGACCGGCAGCAGCGCCGCAAACGCCTGGCTGATGTTCTGGTACAGGCCGGCGGCCCTGATCTCCTCGATGAAGATGACGTCGGCTTCCCGTGCGATGCGCAGCTGTTCGCGGTTGACTTCGCCCAGGATACGGATGGCCAGACCCGGACCGGGGAAGGGATGGCGCCAGACAAGCTCGTGCGGAATTCCGAGGTTGGTGCCCAGAGCGCGGACCTCGTCCTTGAAGAGCTCGCGCAGCGGCTCGATCAGCTTGAGGTGCATGCCCTCGAGCAATCCACCAACGTTGTGGTGGGTCTTGATGGTGGCGCTAGGGCCCTTGAACGAGATACTCTCGATCACGTCGGGGTACAGAGTACCCTGCAGAAGCCACTCGATGTTGCCCTCCTTGTCAGATCCGGCAGCAGCATCGGTGATCGACTTGGCTGTCTCCTGGAACACCTCGATGAAGGTGTTACCGATTATCTTACGCTTGCGCTCGGGGTCGGTCACGCCCTTGAGAAGGTTGAGGAAACGGTCGGAAGCGTCGACGACCGTGAGGTTGATTCCCAGTCCCTTTTCGAGAGTCTCATGCACCTGCTGAGCTTCGTTGAGACGCAACACTCCGTTGTCGACAAGGACGGCATGGAAGCGGTCGCCAATGGCCTCCTTCATCAGCTTCGCAGCGACGGTCGAGTCGACACCACCGCTGACGGCACCAATGACCTGACCCTTCTCGCCGACCAGGGTCTTGATGCGCTCAACCTCCTTGTCCACGAACTTCTCCATGCTCCATTCCTGCTTGGCGCCACAGATGTCGACAGCAAAGTTCTTGAGGATCTCAGTTCCGCGGGGAGTGTGAGTCACTTCGGGGTGGAACTGAATACCGAAGTAGGGCTTGGTGGTGCTTGCGATACCGGCGAAGGGAGCGTTGTCGGTGGTAGCAATGACCTCGAAGTTGTCAGGGAGCTTGGCGAGCTTGTCGCCGTGGGACATCCAGACCTGAATCTTGTCATCAAGACCCTGGAAAAGACGATCGATGGAGCCCTCCTTGCCAGCTTGACGGTGAATGTTCAGGTGGGCGTGTCCGTATTCCTTCTTGTCACTGGCCAGGACGTTCTTTCCGTGGTGCCAGGCGAGTTCCTGTAGACCATAACAGATACCGAGGATGGGGACATTCAGGTTGAACACCTCCGGGTCGACGTGAGGGGCGATCTCTTCGTAGACGGAGAAGGGGCTTCCGGACAGAATAACACCGGTGGGCTTCCAGGGCAGTTCGGCGATCTTCTGGGTGCACGGCAGCATCTCGGAGTAGACATTGAGCTCACGGAGACGTCTGGTAATTAGGTGGGAGTACTGAGAACTGCGATAACTGTCAGCGCTTCGAACAATCTTTCTATCACTGTCTCAGGGCTTGCTTACCCAAAGTCCAAGACCAGGATGGTATCGAAGGTCTTGTGCGGCTCAATAGCCGTCTCAACGTTGGAAGCCATAATGCTGGAACTGGGGATTGTAAAGGAGATTGAAGTAGGATATCTCCCCAGACGAAAGGAATGTAGAACTGGTGGGAATGACTCCAAAGGAAGAGAAGAAGAGAAAAAAATCACCCCGCGATAAAAAAAAAATCGATAAAAAAAAAAAGTCCGAATCGGGTATAGCGCGGGACCCCATCGGAGCAACTTTTTTTGACCGGATTGCGCCTCGACGCTACATAAAACAATACATTTCTACACAACCCTCACTGATCTCTTACACAATGGGAAAGCGCAAGCAGCTCAAGGATGGCGACGTTGTCATGGGGGGTGCTGACCCGACCGTCGAAGGTGACGAGTCCGACGAGGTACGGCGCAAAGTGTTCTCCACGAATGCGATAGCGATAGAGATAGCTTGCTAATGGCTACCGAGTATAGGAGATGGATATTGTGAATGTCGACTTTGAATGGTTCGATCCTCAACCCGCGGTGGATTTCCATGGCCTCAAGAGCCTTCTCCGTCAGTTGTTCGACGCCGATGCCCAGGACTTCGACATCTCTGGTCTGGCCGATTTGATCCTGTCGCAGCCGTTGCTGGGGTCAACAGTCAAGGTCGATGGCAACGAGTCCGATCCATATGCCTTCCTTACAGTCCTCAACCTCCAAGAACACAAAGACAAGCCCGTGATCCAGCAATTGGGCTCCTACGTCCAGCGCAAAGCCTCATCCGTTCCCTCCCTCGCACCGCTGGCAACTCTCCTTTCGCAGACTCCCGTTCCACCTGTGGGTTTGATCCTGACTGAGCGATTGATCAACATGCCCTCTGAGGTTGTCCCACCGATGTACGGCATGCTCCAGGAAGAAATCGCCTGGGCTATTGAGGAGAAGGAGCCGTACAACTTCTCACACTACCTGATCGTGTCCAAGGGCTACGAGGAGGTCGAGTCGAAATTGGATATGGAAGATGCGCGTCCGAACAAGAAGAATAAGAAGTCGGGCAATAAGGTGGAGCAATTCTACTTCCACCCCGAAGACGAGGTATTACAACGTCATGCGCAATGCCATGGCTCGTATGAGTACACACATGAGCGCGACGAAGGACACTCGGATTCAAAACGGGCTTTCCAGGAGCTGGGTGTCAAGACGACCGGAAGCCTGTTGTTGATTGACGCTTCCAAGTTTGAAGATGCCGTGAAGGATGTCACTGGATACCTCAAGCCTCCTGTGTAATGATGTTAAATGACTATTGTTTGGAACGGAAGAGAAAAGAATGTGCTGGTTTCATGATTTCTATCCATGATTAACTACTTAGTATATACTGCATGGCGTATCTCAAAGCTTTTATCTGTCCCTATGTATCACTCCCATTGCGTTCCCTTCAGGCGCTGCATTAGATATTCCACCTCGACTACCTTGGTAAGGGGAATGACACAGTTCTGCGATGATATTAGCGCACTCCTAAAGGCTCCTTGTTGGTGCTGAACTCACCTTATACATGGACACCACCGCGTCGGTATCAATCTTCGGCCCCGACTCCACGGGGAAGGCAGGATCGGTACCATATGTTCTGGCCTTCAACCCCAGTCTCTCCAGCACCTTCTGCTCGATCTTGAAATCGGTAATGGCCGTGTCAATCCCCGCGCGGTCGTTTTCCTTGATCATCTTGGCAAATCTCTCCGGCTCCTTTTGGAACTTCGACTCCGCAACGAACTTGCCAAAGTGAATCCGACGAGACAGCGCTTGCAAGCAATTGACATCGCATGTTGCCGCAGAGCCGTAGTTCTCTTGTGCCTCGCCCCGATCGCCCAGCTCCGACATGGGGCAGATAGCGGGGAGGATCTCCTCCACGTAGCGTTGCTTAATTGTTTCGTTCACGTTCACATCGTTCTTATGTAGGATCTTGGGATATTTCAACGGCTGCAGAACGGGGTCTTCGAGGGCATCAGGGAAAAAAGGGTATTCGTCCGGGGATTGGTAACGGCGGACTCGCGACTGGAGACGTTCCTGCTCGTGGAGCAGGTACTCCAGCAAACTGAGCTCACTGCCAGGGATGGATACGCCGCCGCGGGCATAGATAGTCTCGTTGAGGGGGAATTGCACTCGTTCGATCAGATGAAAGGTAATGGTGTCTTCAAGGCGACTATTAGGAGTCCATGAAGTGAGTCAACTTTTCCTTGTAGCGGGGCAGGAAAATTGCGATCCAAGGGGGACAGAGTAAGAATACATTAACTGGAATCGGATGTTGGCCAAGTCCAACGCTTTGGAAGGATCCCCAAGACTGACAGCAGCGTCCATGATGCCTAGTAAGCAAGGGCAGGGGTTCAATCGGGTGGGGGGTGATGGTAGTATGTTACTATCTCTACATCGGGCGAAGCTCGAAGGCGGGGAGATCATAGTCAATCATAGTCAATCGCCTCGGTGGTATACATATGTTCTACGGAGTACAGTCCACGAACATGTTACAATGATACTTTCAATCACAATTAACATGACAAGCCCTAGATCTATATATATTCCACAATCGCACATAACATATCCGCAAATTCTTGTACGATGCCTGCAGTATGCTGAATAATCGCGTGGCAGGGGTCACATGACCTGCACGGCATAGCGGCCTGAGTACCCTCGGCACACGACAGCGAGAGCACTGACGGTTGGAGGGAATTTCTATAGATAGCCTGCTAGACTTTCGTGCGCAATTTATACTGTCGAATAGAATCGACTCTATAGCGCTGCTTGTGAACTGGCGGTACAGAGTACGGAGTACATACTACTACTGTACGGAGACGCTAACCACCCCCGGCAGTAAAATTACTCTCGGGAATGCGGTAGGAACTCAATCGGGTTGAAACTCTCACTTCTTCCTCTCTCGACAACGCCCTTGACAGACTGCAGTGAGACCCTTATCCCTGGCTCAGGCAGGTGTATATTTGCTTTTGCTTCCATACAGCTTCTCTTACTTGCGTATGGGTCTTGCTTAAGTCCGGAGTGTTCCCCCTCCTCTGGTTGGACTCATGGAGAAGCACCGCCGGGATGAGTCCCCTTCCGGTCTATCAGATATCATTGAACAAGACGGCCTTTTGGGAACCGGTTTAACGGTAGGTCAATTCCCTTGCTTGTGTCTACCGGCCATTGCTGACTCTGTTGTGATGGCATTCTCCAGTCCCGGCATATCGAAGCCTTTGGACGTAAGGTTACCTCCACAGCCGGACATCTGATGGGACCATCGGGGGACTCGACTAACAATGCTCATTATCACAATGCCATGGTGGGCATCCACCGTGAATTACGACGCCCGAATACGCAACGCAAAGTCTTCTCGTTAACCCAAACCACCCCTACCGATCTGGTTCGCTCGAAGCTTTCCACTTCCGAAATCCAATCCCGCGCCGTTTGCGCCCTCCCCGATGAGCTGCTTGCGAACATCCCGGACGACTCCAGCTCGTACTCGCTATTCGAAGGTTTCCAGGTTTCCCAGGAGGACCGGGAATACCGGAAGTCTCACCGGCGGCGCACATCGAAAAGCAAACAACTGGAAGATGGAAAGTCTGCGGGTGGACTTCCGTCATCTCCGGATGGGCTGAAGAAGGAGCGGGAGATCCACAACCGTCGGTTGGAGATGATGGGTGTTCGCAAGAACATGTGCAGCTCGGAGATCCACGATATCGACAATAAAATCGCAAACCTCCACAACATGCGCAAGATTGTTTTGGATCGATTGGCAGGCCTGGAGATGGATGAGGCAGAGCTGGAGAATGAACGTGGGTGCATACCTATTTCCCAAACATATTGAGAATCCGCATCTGACCCTAAACAGTGACCGAGATCGACAATAAGCTGGAAGACATTCAAGAAGAGCCCCCGGAGACCCCTAAAACCGCGGATACCCCGAGAACATTTGAGACAAGCGATAACTCGTCTGCTTCGGGAGACCCAGCTATGGATGCTTCGTTCATGTCGGAATCGATCTACCAGAAGTTGCCTTCGGCATCTCCAAAGCCCATAAAGCATAAATCTACCAGTAAGTCTCCGGAAAGTCTTGGTTATCTCGCTCAAGATGATCTAACTGATCGGAACAGGAAAACGCTCCATGCCCGTCTTACATGAGCATTTTGAGCCTGGCTCGATGATCAAAGAAATCGAAGCGCACACTGATATGGTAACCGCCATGGATTTCGACTATCCTTTCGGGACCATGGTCAGCGCTGCCTTGGATGATACCGTGCGGGTTTGGGATCTCAACGCAGGCCGGAGCATCGGATTCTTGGAGGGCCACCATGCGTCGGTCCGGTGCCTCCAGGTCGAGGACAACATTGTAGCCACAGGGTCGATGGATGCTTCGATTAAGCTGTGGGACTTGAGTCGCGTGCGCACGGTTTCCCGATCCAGTCATATTGGTAGACACGAGGAAGACGAAGATGATGTGTTCTCGTCGCCTCCGTCCACGACCATGGAAGATTGCTTTGTACACTCGCTGGACGCTCATGTTGCTGAAGTCACGGCTTTGCATTTCCGAAAGAATACCCTGATTTCTGGCTCTTCCGATAAGACTTTGCGACAATGGGATCTGGAAAAAGGTCGCTGCGTGCAAACGCTGGATGTTCTCTGGGCTGCGGCCCAAGCAACTTCATTGGGCACCGAGAGTCAGTGGCGGCCGACTGGACGCACGCCAGACGCCTCTGCGGACTTTGTCGGCGCGGTTCAGTGCTTTGATGCTGCTCTGGCCTGTGGTACTGCTGACGGTATGATCCGTCTCTGGGATCTTCGGAGTGGGCAGGTTCACCGCAGTCTTGTGGGTCATACGGGACCTGTTACTTGCCTGCAGTTCGATGACGTCCACCTGGTTACTGGTAGCTCCGACCGCAGCATTCGGGTATGTTTCTTTTTCCTATTTCGCTTTCCAGACGACTAACTCGTGTCTAGATATGGGATCTTCGCACCGGGTCTATCTTTGACGCCTATGCCTATGACAAACCGATTACCAGCATGATGTTTGATGCTCGACGGATTGTTGCCGCAGCAGGGGAGAATGTGGTCAAGGTTTACGACAAGGCCGATGGACGCCACTGGGACTGCGGCCCGGGCGTTGGCATTGATGATGAGCAGGGACCATCTCCGCCCAACGTCGAGCGTGTCCGACTCAAGGATGGATACCTTGTTGAAGGCCGAAAGGACGGTTTTATCGGGGCTTGGACTTGCTGAGCGACGAAAGCCCGAGAGAAGTACGATTTCTTGTTACGACGTTCCGCCCATTACATTGTAGCTATGCCAATTTCAGTTTCTTTCTTTTTCATTCGTTGATCCGCGCAGCTTGGAGCTACTGTGTATACTATTGTTGGAAGCCAATATAGAAGCAAAGCGACTGACCCAGCCAGCTGTACGGAGACAAAAGCAGGAGGCTATTGTCATTTTAACAAAGAGTAATGCCAGCGTAAAGATAGAACATTCCCTAGAATTGGAGACATAAGGGGATTCACTTCAATGCAGTCTTTCATCTCAACTTGTTGACTTGCACAATGAATAATAATGAGCAATGAATGAATGAATGCCAAGCCTTGTCCCAAATAGGAAACAATGAGCCGCAGATTGGAGTTCGCTTTCATCTGGCAGACTCCCCTCCACCTCCACCAGCACCACAACCGTCATACCACGATTTATTGCCAAAAACGCGTCTGTTTTTATACTCTAGGAATTACAGCACTACAAAACGACATTCTATACCAGCAAAATTCTCTCCGTTGTGTCGCCAATGCTGCTCGGGTGTTGATCCGTGTCGCGTCGCGGCTTGTTGTGATCTCATTGCGGCGCCCAAGACAACCAGGAGAAAGCACCAAAGAGAGAAAGAAGCGCTTCATGCTCGTTCAATCACCTTTGTGTTTTCCATCGGAAAGGGAATATCGACAAAGAAACCGAGACAGTGATCTTTGTTGCTCTGCGCGGCCAGCGACACATTCACCTCTCCGACGACAGCATTAATACCCCTCCGTTTCCTTCAATCTCGAGCATTCGTCGCTTCTCTCGTCCTATCTCGTCCTTGCCAAACAGCGCTTTCTTTTTATTCGTCCCGCTGCCAGAGTAGAAATCCATCGAAACCAAATCGAATAACTCCTTGAGGCTGCGATTTGTAAGTGCAGAGTACTGTCCCTTTAGACCCTGCTAATCTCCTATCCTAGGACACAACATGCCTCCTAAGCGCGCCGTGAACCGGCGTGATGGCCCAGTAGCGCGCTCCAACGACAATGGAACCCGTTCATATCTCGCGGAGATCTCCGGCCCACAAGCCACGAATCCAAACCTGCCAAACATTCCGGCGAAACCTTCCTGGGGTTACGGGTCGTCGACAGCGCCGGTCTTCCCTCGCCAACTGTCGATAAAGTCGGGGATGAACGTGGATGATATGGCGGAAAGCATCGAATCTGGGGTGAAGAGCGCGCAGGATCGCGATGAGAACGGTCAAGAAAACCCCCCGAAAGCAAACCCGAAGCCTCGTGCAAATTCGCGACAAACAAGACGATCGGTCTCCGCCAGTATTTCTCCAGCACGTCGTCGGAGAAGACGCGAGCCGACTCCCGATCAGGTGCAGTTGCTTGGTACGCTGAGAGAATCTACGGTCTCCCCGAACCCCCGCGCGGGAGATGGCCTGTCGACCGCGACGCCATCTCCTCCCGTTCCACACGCCATCTCGACAGAATCAAGTCCTCCCCCTGTCCCTCCATATCCGACTTTACCATCAGCCGAGCCTCTGTATCCCTCTCCGCTTCTTCGACTCGATTCTACAGCCCGCCAAGGAGCCCCGCGTGGAGGTTCACCCCAGCAAGAAGACAATCTTGACAACGAGTCCGTTATTTCGTGGAACGTTGAACGCGATATTCACGAAGATGATTTACAACGAACCCGCCCCGCTAGGTTTCGCGAAGAGCGACAGGGCAAGAACCTTACGGCGCCGCCTCGACGGTTCTCGGGTCTTGCCTTCCCCAACGAAACTATCCAGGAGGAAGATGAGCCCGAGTCTGAGGGATCTGTCAAGAATTCGCCTACACCTGAGCCGGCACTAGAACCTCAGGATCAAAGTGATACCCAGCCTAGGGCTCTGTCAGAGCCTCAACCAGATCCCGAGCCCGCGCTCGCCCCCGAGCCCACCCCCGAGCCCGAGCCGTCCACGGCCCCTACGAGGACAATTATACCTAGAATGAATCTGCACGAAACCTCGTCTTCTGGAGTTAGCCCGCCGTCTCCAGTGCAATCCGTCAAGGCCGCAGTCAAATCCGGGGTACAATCCATTCCCACGCCGTCCTTTTCTTTCCGCCAGAGCCAAGTGACTAGGATAGCTGCCATTCTCATTCTGACCATACTGTCTATACTCACGGTCTTTACTTTCAGTGAAAATTTGGCCAATATATCCAGCGGCATTAGGTCACGTCTCCCATTCGGCAGACAGTCGCCTTACATTCCATTGAACGGCACCGCCATGGATGCTATTCACAGTCTCAGCAAACATGTGGCAAGGATAGACACGCGTGTCTCGTCACTATCTGGGGAGGTGGCTACTGTCAGGTCGGAGGTTGAGAATATGCCACCCCCAACGACTGTGGTAGAGCCTGTGCCAGTTTGGAAAGCAACGCCCACGCCAAAGATCAATTTCCTCGCGCAAAGCATGGACGTCAAAATCGATCCTCAAAAAACCAGCCCAACTGTCGGTCTGCCGTCCAACTTTTTCGAGCGTGCTACTCATCGTCTAATGGAACCCGCCACGAGCTTGGTTAGGTGGGTCCTTTCCTTCCCAGAGCCATTGGGACCTCTCGCGGCTTTGACGCATTGGGAAGATGCGGGAGATTGCTGGTGTAGTACCCCGGATTCTGGCGTGTCGCAATTGTCTGTGATACTAGGCTTGCCGATCACACCAGAAGACGTTGCCGTGGAGCACATTTCAAAAGGTGCCACCGCCGATCCCGGATCAGCACCCAAAGAAATGGAGTTATGGGCTCATTACGTTGTGAGGAATGAAGATTCCGCCACCAAACGATCTTGGGTGCCATCTTTCCTCTCGTCCTCAGAGGGATCCTCTAAGCGATCTGAGTCTACAGGATTCTCGGATCAGTTTTTGCCACGCGAGAAGATCATGGAAGCCCTCCACATTGCCTATCGCGGTGAACCCGATGCTTCTTTCTCGGATGACGAGCTCTTGGGTCCTACCTTCTACCGCATTGGGCGGTGGATGTATGATATTAATAGCCCGGAACTTGTCCAAGATTCTAGCCTAGCAGCTGTTATCGATTCGCCTGACATCAAGGTGGACCACGTGGTATTTCGGGTCAAGTCTAACTGGGGCTCTGATTCTACCTGCATGTATCGATTGAAGTTATACGGGCATCTATGAAGAAGCTTGATTTGTTTTGTTTTTGCTACTGTTCTTTTTAGCAAGGCGTTTGATGGGCACGGAAGGGTGGATAGAGGCGTTTTGCAATGTGCTGTTCGATTCTTGTCCATTCTTTGACTTGTCGCATCGTGGACGGCGTTAAAAGGTCTGGTGGACCGATGTATATCTTGTTCTTTGTGAAGCGTCCAATTTGTTGATATACCAAGCAGTTCAATTTGATAGCAAGCATGGCTCATTATTTCTCTAGTTCTCAAAGCACAATTACACACTCGAATCAAACTCCGGATTCACCCACGACGGCAACGGTGCTGATGCCCGCATCAACGCCCCAAATTTTTGCAACAGGGCAAAGACCAGTGTTCCTGCCCCGGCGACAATCAGCGCTTGTGCGGTAAACGTCCAGGTCCAGCCGGACGAGGCTTGCCAGGAAGAAATGAAGAACTATCGCACCAATGTCAGTTTTTCTTTTTTTACTTTTTTTTGTGGGGGGGGGGGTTATGGTAAGGACATACCGGATTGATAAAGGCACTGAGGTTGAGGAACACAGCGTAAAAGGTGACGACGCTGGTGGACTGGAGGGGATAGCTGTCAACAATGTAGCTGCTCGTCACGGTGTTTCCGACTTGAATTCCTGCGGCGACTGTGCAAGTCAGTAAGTAGACTAAGGCAGAGAGGAGAAGAGGTGTTGCTTACAGAGAAAGAAAGCCACCTGACCAACCATCCAGTGGTAGTTCTTGTCGATGCTAATGCCCCAGACAATCAAGCCAACTAGCTCAAGGTGAGCTTCTCATCTTCCTTTCCTCCCAAGAAAAACTCACCAGCTGTAACTAAAATAGCAGGATACGCCAGCCAAAGCCTCATTTCAGCCACGCGAATGTTCCCATTCCTCCTTGCCAACCAGTCAACAAGCCAGTCGCTCAACCTGCCCGAACAGCAGATTTCAGATACCAGCGTCCCGAGAAACAACCCCAGGAACAGCAATCCCTGAATTAACGGACTATACGACGCGTACGCAGCAGGTACCATCGTAATCACGGACAACACCCACCAGTACCAGAGAAATGAGTATCCAAGAATTGCGATGACGACGGGGGGGAATCGGAACGTGAGGAAGAATCGAATAACCGAGTCCCAGGGTTTGGGATGGCGCATTCCTGGTATGGGGCAAAAGTTGAGGAATAACAGGCTCTTGGTTCTGGGGATATCGGTTTCTGATGAGGATATGGTTGGGTGAGGTGCCTTTTCGGGGTCTGCTGCTGCTGCTATTCCTGTCTCTGTTGACGACTCTGATGCCGGCTGCATTCGATTACGTGGATACAAGGTCTCGGGCATGAAGAAGAGCTCGAGGAGCAGGAGAAATGCGAAAAGAATAGCGTTGAACCAATTGATCCATGAGGCACTAAGCAGATTGAAGAAGCCACCAACTGCCCAAATCAGTTTGTTGTCGCCTCGTTCATTCCGTGAGCTCTGACTTACAGGTTGGACCGAGCAGAAGCCCCGAATCAATGGCAAGTACCCATAACCCGAGCTTTTCTCCACGTTCATAATTGAAGAACAGATCGTTTACTTGTTATTCTTAGCACCAAAGAACTCTCGATGAATAGAACTGTCCGCATTATTACTCTGATCCATCTACTGAATCTTTCGGATCTTATCTCGCTTGACGGGGCGCCTGGAACATCAAAATCAGCACCCAAGAGAAACACGTCTTTTTCACGCGTCAATCGACCGATAGGGGCCTTCTGGCACCTATAAACCACCATGGAGGCTCTGAGACCCCGTGGTGGTGGTATATCACACGCGTCACCCCCCGGAGTGGGCAACGTGGCCTCCCAATTCGCGGAAACACAAGATATGCCAGTCACCCCAACGCCAACCCGCTGGCGATCTGGGAACGCGATGCAACCTGGAATTAATGAAGGCAGCATGGAGAGTATGAGCGTGGATGAAAATGAAGGCCAGGAGCGCGGGCGACCTGGGGGATCCAG